AGAGCCTCACCTCATCCTCTTGGCAGTCAATCTTTGGAAATGTGTAAACATTGGTAAGATCCTCTCACAGCTTTGTCTTCTTCAGGTTGAACAGTCCTGGGGGTCTCAGCCTTTTTTCAGAAGGGAGTTGCTTCAAGCCCTCAATCATGTTTGTGTCCCTCCGCTGGACTGTCTCCAGCAGTTCCCTGTCTTTTTCAAACAGGGTGCCCAAATCTGTAGCCTCATCAGGGTAGAGGGGAAGGAGAACCTCCTTCAGCCTGCTGGCTGTGGTCTTTTCAATGCAGCCCAGGATACCATTGGCTTTCCCAGCCACAAGAAACCTCTGCTGGCTCATTGTCTACTGGGACACTTAGGTACCTTTTTGCAGAGCTCTTCCAGCGGATCAGTCCATAACCTTTACTGATGCTTGTGATTATTCTTCCCCATATCTCATGCTCTATACTTGCTCTTGTTGAACCTCATGAAGCTCCTTTCTGACCAGCTCACCAGCTTGTCCAGATCTCAGTGAAAGGCAGCACAACCTTCCGGTGTGTCAGCCTCTCCTCCCAGCTTTGCATCATCTGTAGACTTGCTGAGGGTAGACTCTATCCTTCCATCCAGATCATTGATGAAGATGTTGAACAATACTGGACCCACTGCTGACTCCTGAGGAATATCACTAGCCACAGGCCTATGACTGGACACTGCTCCACAATATTCTGAGCCCTGCCATTTAGACAGTTCACAATTGAATTCACTGCTGACTCATCCATCCCACCCTTCTTAAGCTTACATTAGAGGTGTTCATAGAATCACAGAATCACAGAAAAGGGTTGGAAGGAACCTTAAGAATCAAACTCCAATCCATCTATCACAGGCAGGGTTACCAACTGCTAGATCAAGTAGTAGATCAGATTATCCAGGGCCCCATCCAACCTGGCCTTTAGCACCTGTCAAAAGCCTTACTGAAGTTAAAGTAGAAAACATACATTGCCCATCCCTCATCTACTTAGCTACTCATGACATAGAAGGCTACAAGACTGATCAAGCATGATTTCCCCTGAATTAATTCATGTTAACTACTGATAACCTTTTTCTCTTTCTCTTGCTTGGAAATACCAACCAGAATAAGTTATTCCATCACCTTCTACTGAGGTTCAACAGTAGACCACAGGGCCAAATGCAAGATGATGCACTTGGATAATGGCAATCCCAGATACATGTACAGAATGGATAAAGAACTCACTGAAAGCAGCTCAACCAAGGACTTGGGCATCTTGATGGATGAAAAGTTGGACATGATCCAACAGTGTTCCCTTGCAGCACAGAAGACCAGTTTTATCCTTGGTTACATCAAAAGAAGGATGGCCATCTGGGGGAGGGAGGTGATTTTTTTTTTTTTTTTTTTTTTTTTTCCCCTTTGATCTGCTCTTGAAAGGCTTCATCTGGAGTACTGTGTCCAGGCCTCAGACTGTTAGTGTACCAGAGATGTGGAAGTGGGTCCAGAGAAGGGCTACAAAGATGATCAGAAGGCTACAGCACCCCTTCTACAAATAAAGGTTAAGGGAGCTGGGTTTGTTCAGCTTGGAGAAGAGAAGGCTCTGGCAAGACCTCACTGTAGCCTTTGGATATTTAGAAAGATCTTATGAGCTGGAGAGAGACAGTCTTCTTACGCAGGATGCCCTGTCCCTGAAAGTGTTCAAGGCCAATTTGGATGAGTCTCACCAAGTATCTGATCTAGTGGTAGGCAACACTGCCTACAGCAGGGATGTTGGAACTAGATAATCTCTAAGATCTTTTCCAATTCAATCCATTCTACGAGTCTATGATTCCCAGGGATAGAAGTGAGTTGTAGTAAATACTGTAAACATCTTTAGCCTAATGACAATACCATTTAATGTAAACTGTTACATGAGCAGCAAGTTCAGTAAAATGGCAGGGGTGGAGAGACAAACTTGTACACCAGCAGTCTTCATCTCACTGTAAGGATCAAAGTGAATTTATTCATACTAAAAAAGTGTGACAATCAGTAATGATGCTGTACCCTTAACTAATGTTTTTCTGATGAGAGACTGTGTGAAACAGTCAACATTTCCCATGAAATTTCTACACCTAATATGGAACAGAACAGTCCAGTCTGTTCTTAAAAGAAAGGTGTACCCACATCTTGAAGTCAAACCATGATAATTTGATCAAGTACTCATTTTTCAACTCTCCTAGGTATGGTAAGCTGTCAAGTAACATGTTCCATTAATACTTTCAGGGTACAAATTCTAAACACGTATTCATACAAACTCCACAGATTTGGTCTTATACATAGGTATAGACAACATGTAAATTGTGCAACAGTTTTATTGAACACAAACATGCTCTCCCTGACACCTGAGATAAGTGACAAATTTAGAAGCTTAATGAAACCTGACATTTTTTTCTTAATGGATTTAATCTCAATTTTGGACTATGTGGAATTAAATGTGAGTACTAAGCAAGTACATTCCTGAACCAGTTTTAGATCAGCCTACAAAAACATACCTATTAATTCCAGAAAGGAATAAAATATTCATGAACAACTACGTGCTAACATTTGAAAGAGTATGAACTCAGAAGACAAAATTTGAAGAAACAAATAAGATTTTTATTGATGCCATTCAGAGAAAGTAATATGCCTGAGACACAGAGAAAAGCCTTTACTTGGCATATGGGGAGACAACTTTGCAAGGACTGACTCTGAGTTAGGCTATATCTAGCTGCATTACCTAAAGAATACCATAAAGAATGATTTCCACTTCACTTTGAAAACACATTGTGCCCAGTGATTTATAGTCCCTTTTTCATTGCATATCACCACTAAAGAGATATGATTCTTCATCAGGAAAAGATAGTAGACTCAGTCTCAGAGGAAAATGGCAACATTCAGAACTTCACATTTAATATGGTGACGTGTCAATTTTTTTAGTGTATTTTAGCATGTATGATGTACTTTACTTAATCTGTACATAGGTTGTGTAACCAACTCAGAAAGCTTATTCTAAGAGATGTACCAAAACAAAACTGATATCTTTACTCCATGCCTAGGGTGAGGACAATAGCCTAGCTGCCTGTGAGCCAATATGCACCTTGGTGAATATTGGCCAATGTAACCTTAGTGAAGGTCTGATGTGCGACTTTGGCTCAGCTGACTGAAAAACAAAAATAATAAAAATAGCTTGCTATCAAGTACATAAGCTGAAGATTAGACTGTGTAATAGTCAAGGACTTTAGGAAAAGATATAACTGTAAAAAAGCAAAAAAAGTCGTAGTAAAGTAGAAATAAATTGGATGACAGCAACTCACAGGAGTGAAGATCAGACAGTATCAAGTGCAAGAAAGCTAACCTTCCTCACTTGGCTGCTGCCATCTGCATAGAGCAACTTATCCAGTGCCTACATTAGAGGTGGCAAACATACAACTTGTACTTAGCTTATCACATTAGCACATTCAATCTACTCTGCATATTAGCCTAAAAATAATTTGTGTGAACATGATTTTTCAACAATCCTGTTTCTGTACAGGAAAGGGTTCCCAAACAGTAGGTAGGGAAAAAAGGAATGCTATGGGACCTCTGCCAATGGCAGTGAGTAAAAGCACTTTGAAGGGATAGTATGTTAAACTGATATTTAACCTTCTCTGAATCTGTGTAGACAAAATAAGGACAAACTCAATTAATTTCAAAAATGTGGTAAAATCTCTACATGCCTAAAAGTACGTAGAAGTCCTTTGATGAATGTTGTGTGCTTAAAACATAGAACTGATAGCAAGACATAAACTCACAGATATTACATCACTAACCCAGTACAGAAGCAGTTTTATGAACTGAACATTGAGCAGACATATGTCACAGGTGTGCCAAATAAATGAGCTCTAAGAAGATTTACAAATGCTGGAGTAGAAATGATAAACATAAAAACAGACAGGCAAGCATTCTGAATGAGACAAGATGTACTAACTCCTCATATTTGCCACAGCTACTCATATGTTTTCTAAGCCTAATGTGGAGTGCCTCCAGTCCAACAGAACTTTTCTCAATAACTCACACTTCTAACTCTTAAATCAATTCTCTCCCCACATTTTGTCAAAATGAATGTCTCGAGGCCTAGAAATTCAGTCTTTAATGACTAGTGCTGCCAGCCATTGATAGCAAATATCTGCTAGGTGGATGGAAAATATCAATATGATTTCATTTGAACCAATCAAGAAAAGAATACATCTAGGTTTTAATGGATCTGAAGCTTCCTAGACATCTTTTGGAAAAGAATACAGAAACCAAATGTATGCATTGATTGGGCAAGAGACATATGACAGGATACCTCCTGGTATTCTCTGATTCCTTTTAATCTGTATGCTCACAGTTTCCTTCCCTTGAAAACTGAAATATCATGAAGAGACCAGAAATATTTCTGGATGGAAAAAAGCTCTACCCTCCTCAGCACTCTCAGACCTGGCAGGGGAGGCAGAGAAATACTAGCTGCTTTAGGCTAAGGCATGCACCACAGGGTCTGCTCATCTTAGTACTGATTCTCTAAATCCTGTTGAATCTAGATGCTTTGAATAGCCTAAATATATATGTACCACCACACCCCTTACTAGACTATTTCTGGATGTGAATGAAGGTTTTGAGGCAAGCAAAATACATAGGACCTCCTGTCTAGCTAAACTCAAAATACTGAGACAGAACAAACTACAAAACAAAATAATTGCGTTTCTTAAGAAAACTAAGAAAAATAATTACTTACTGGATCAGATAAAGGGTCTGCCTGGTCCCCTGTCTTTCCACAGTAATTACTACCAGGATACCAAAGAAATAATTGTAGACAGGGGCATTTGATGTTTCCAATAAAGCATTCTTCACATCTGTCTCACCCATTCCCATAACAACACAAAACATAACACTATTGCAACCAAAAAAATGTAATCAAGAGGTACATTCAGTGTTCTAGCGTGATCAAATCAGTATTTCTGTCACAAAACACAAATAGTTAAAATCAGCTATTAGCTTTTTTATGTTCTGTCAAGGTCCCACGGGGATCTTCTGTAAAATAAAAGAAGAGACCCACTTGCCCTTTTTTGGGCTTTGTTAATAGGGTTAAAAAATATGAGGGAACAAACTGATCAACTGTTCCAGTAATGGCAAGAGTGTCTCCCCTTTCTAAAGGGTTGAGACCACCTGCCCAATAGGCAGCCCTTTGTGTTAAGGACCAGGGAGCACTACTGTTGCCAGTAGTTAAAAATACTCCTGGTCCCCAGTAACCTTCCGCCTCCTTTTCTGTTAGCAGAATCTGGTCGCCACCAGTGGGACTCACCCTCCATACATATTCTGTTTCTGATTCCTTTGGAGAGCGGCTGAAATCTTTCTTCAATTTCGCCAGTTCAGTGGCTGAGAAGGGAATTTCCTTAACATTCATTTGAGGATCTAGATCCTCACTGTTATCGAATATGTATTCAGTTTTTATCAAAGGACGCAATGGAGCTATTGGAGTTTCTAATTTATCTAGCCTTTCCTTCATTCCTGGTAGCTCCACCAGAGGAAAAGTTTTTTCTCGAGGCAAACTGTGGGTGACGGTATGGCTGGCATGCTTACACGTTAGCAGTTCCTTAAAAGCCATTTGCAACAAAGCCGAATTACATTTCTCTCTTTCTAATTGTTCCTCAAGGTTCACTATTTGATTCTGCAGAGTTTTCACCAATTCTTGTGTTACTTTAACCGATTCCTGCAGTGCTTGTATAGTTTGGGTTTCTGCCGAATGCTTTTCATCTCGGAACTCCACGGCTGCTTTTAAAGTGGCCACGAGTACGGCACAAATAAACGCCTTTCCTTTTCCAGCTCGAGTACGAGCCTCATTCTGTAAGACACTAATGCGGTCCGAAACACTCTGCAAATTATGCCAATTTTGGCGTGCCCAGTCCACCCCTGATAAAGAGGGACGAGCACCATGCTTTTCTAAAAGGTCAAATAACACATCTTCACTTTTCATACTGACAATACTGTTACTCATTTCTTAATACAATGAAAGATCTATACTAAGGGAGGAGGAGGTACACGTATTCAAAAGCTCAGTTACTCCTCACCTCTCTTCCCAGGGAGATACACCACAACTAAACAAATGCAAATGCTCCAATCACTCCTCCCTTTCTTTGGGGGAGCACAAAAAATGTGACGCTAAAGCAACACTTTCTAGGTTTCAATGTAGTAAATAAAACTTCTTGGAGAGGCACACACGTTTTAGTCACAAAATATCACTTCCTCACTTCCCCAAGAGGCGCAAGCACGCAGACACACCAAATTTCGCACTTCAGTTACCAAATAACCAGAGAGGTCTTCCCGAGGAGGCACACACGTATTAATCAAAATGCAAATAGTCAAAATACGTCCCCGAGAGGTACACACATAAAAAGTAAAGTTTCAGAATATGGAGCGGTCTTCCTGGAGAAGGACTCACGTCTGAATTTTCAAAACTATCACTCCTTGCAACTCCAGGAGGTGCACACAGAAAAAAAAGTTTCAAACTATATCTGGAAGGACAACACTCTCACAGCGGGTATCCTGCAACGACTACGCCATTAAATAAATGTCTCGCTCCAATTTATAGGAGGGAGAGGAGGTTCTTTTATTATCTATATACCCGACGTGAGATTAAGAAGCAACGGTTCAAATGTTGGTCCAACCAGTTTATTACAAATCTTAATCAGGGGAATTGGGGAAGGGGAGGACGGACACTACTATGAATTAGGGTACTGGGGAGGGGAAGGAGGGCGATGGAAAAGATAGGAAAGAAGAGGCAAGGAGTCTTTATAGGCAGCAGGAGGGACATAGTTACCACCATGGATCCAGCGTGGTTCATAGTTCAGTCTTTGATCTTCAGTAGCGGTGGGTCGTCAGGCAGAATTGTTCTGTTGCCAACGACGACGAGGAAACACAACGGTGATGATGGCCCCTTTTCAATGGTTTCAAAGTGGTGAAGTCAGCTGTCTTTGGAGTGACAGCTCAAATCCAAAGTGGTCGAGTCAGCTCTCCTTTGAGTGGCAGCTTCTGGCTCTGGGATCTCAGCAAAAACTCCTTTGTTCCCATCTTCCGGGCCTTGCCAGCAGATAAGAGGGAGCAGGGGTGCCCATCTGCATCCTGTTTCTCACAGAACACGATGGTATCGTTCCCCAGTTTTCCCACACCTAGCTGGAGCTGTTTTGTCATAGGCCACATCTTCCGCCAGTAAACACTCCTGAGCATTCTCATCCGCTCTTCTACAGAGCAAGCAGCTCTGGAGGAAGGGGCTTTCACATGTTCCCAAAGCGATATCCATTGTCACACGGTTAGCACCTATTAGTTGCCTCCTCAACAAATCATTCAGAGTCTTATCACAAGAAAAACCTCAGGAAGCAAGCTTTGAGCCAAAAAAACAGAGAAGGATTCTCACAACATCCTACTACAAGTAAGCTTTCCCCAACCAAGAGTTATCTTGCTCATTTAGCAATTCTCTTTGGATTGCTATTCTATGCTCTTGTCTATTCTTGCCTGCAGTCTTATTACTTTTAAGCATCCATGTAGTGCTGCCACGATTAGTAGTACAGAGCTATTCTTAGCTATGTAAAGAATCACCTGTTATAAATTTTGAGCTAGGTTTAACAAGTTCCATTTATTCTCACTACTTGCATTGGAAGGGAACATAAACAATTAATAATAACCTATTTCCTAATGACATTTATAATTCTGTAGACCTTTATCTTATCCTCCCTAGTATTATATGCTCCCTGAGTCATCTCTTTTCAAGATTGAAGTGACCTGGATTGTGGTCATGTATCTCTGTTAACTTTTTCTGAACATTTTCTAGTTGAACTACTATATTTTTGAGATGAAGAAATGAGAATATGGAGAATACTCGTGTCAGTGTTCAAGATATGGGCAAACTAGGGATTCTGCTGTGTTACAATGGTCTTTTCTCTATCGTTCTTTATACAGTCTGTATGTCATAATATTTTATTTTCTTTTTCAACTGCAACTGTGCACTAAGCTGTTATTTTCACAGAATTTTATTCCATCAGGATCTTGCTTCTGAATGGAACAGTCAGCTTAAAGCTTTATATGTAATTCATATGTAATTTCAGGATTACTTTTCCATTACAGTTATCCATAGTGAATTTCATCTGCCACTAATTGTGCAGCCATTCTTGACAATTTTTCATCAACATGTATTCCAGCGCAAATCTATCCACTAGTGATAGTCCTCGCTTATGAGTCCTGCTCCTTATTCCCGCTCTTCTCTCCAGTATTTTAATATTTTTAACTACTCAAGCGAAGGAAAAGGAAGAACAGCAGGATAATAACAACAGATTTGAAAAGAAATAATTAAGAGAATCTTAAGAATCAGAGTTATGTTTCCATGGGAAGTGTTACACATATGTTTCTATGGGTGTGACTAAAGATACCAGACTTGAGCAAGGCCTTTGATGTGGTCCCCCACCGCATCCTTATCTCCAAATTGAAGGGTTGTGGATTTGATGGGTGGACCACTCAATGGATAAGAAATTGGTTGAAAGGCCACAGACAGAGGATGGTGATTAATAGTTCTATGTCCAGGTGGAGGCCAGTAACAAGCAGCATCCCCCAGGGATCTGTCTTGGGACCGGTGCTCTTTAACATCTTTATCAATGGCATCGACAATGGAATTGAGTGCACCCTCAGCAAGTTTGCTGATAAAACCAAGCTGAGTGGTGCAGTTGACACAGTGGAAGGAAGGGATGCCATTCAGAGGGACCTTGAGAGGCTAGAAAGGTTGGCCTAGGTGAACCTGATGGGGTTCAACATGCAAAGTGCAAGGTTTCGCACTTGGGCTGGAGGAATCTCAGGCATGTATGCAGACTGGAAGGAGCAGTCCTTGAGAGGTGCCCTGCAGACAAGGACCTGAGGGTCCTGATGGATGAAAAGCTTAACATGAGGCAGCAGTGTGCTCCCGCAGCTCAGAAAGCAAACAGTACCTGGGCTCCATCAGAAGAGGGGTGGCCAGCAGGGGCAGGGAGGTGATTGCCCCCCTCTACTATGCTCTTGTGAAGCTCCATCTGGAGTACTGTGTCCAGGTCTCGAGCCCCCAGTACAAAAAAGACAGGGAGCTGTTGGAGAGGGTCCAGAGGAGAACCACAAAGATGATCAGGGGACTGGAGCACTTCCTCTGCAAAGACAGGCTGAGGGGGCTGGCCTTGTTCAGCACGGAGAAAAGAAGGCTGTGGGGTGACCTCATTGCAGCCTTTCAGTACCTAGAGGGAGCCTACAAACAGGAGGGGAATCAACTCATTGACAGGATAGATAACAGCAGTACAAGGGGAAATGATTTTAAGTTGAGGGAGGGAAGATTTAGGTTAGATGTCAGGGGAGTTCTTTACAGAGAGAGTGGTGAGGTGCTGGAACAGGCTGCCCAGAGAGGTTGTGGGTGCCCCATCCCTAGAGGTGTTTGAGGCCAGATTGGGCCCTAGGTAGCCTGGTCTAGTATTAAATAGGAGGTTGGTGGCCTTGCATGCAGCAGGGGTATTAGAAATTTATAATCCTTTAAGTCCCTTCCAATCTGGGCCATTCTGTATTTCTGTTATACTGAAAATATTTCTCAACACTCATTAGTTCCTAGTGCTGGAAAGACTTCTGAAATACAGAAGATTTCTGATAAACTTTTTGTTATTTTTGCAGTATTAGAAACAAACAAAAAAAAAATCTCTAGAATCTCTAGAGAATCTTTGAAATCTCTACAGCTTAAGCAGAATGATCTGTTCTGGATCAGTGCTTTGAGTTTGAGGAGTTTTTAATACGAAACCTGATTATCTCTCTACTGTACAGATATCTAATGAAAATATTTCAATCTTCCTATGCACATAGTCTTAAAGCCTTATAAACAAAAGCCCCAAAGTAAAAGTAGTCTCATAGCTACTGAAGTTGCTATAGGAAGAGATGCTTACAATTGATTATCTGAAATTAACTGTTTAATTGAGTGAATTTGCCTGGTTGAGTAAAAACAACAAGTATAATTATAATATAATACTTATACTTGTAATATATCTAAGTATGTTATATCCTGCTTTTGGTTCCCTGCCCTTTCTTGAGCAAGCTACAACTAATTGTAATGACTGGTTTCGTTCTTCCTGAATTTGTGAGAGCAAGCAAATTTTACTTTTACATTGTCTTCCACACTGATTGAGAAGCAAAATAGTTCTTCTTTCCTTTCAATCTCTGAACTGTAATTCAATCTGAACATTTGTATTAGATGTTGGCATTAGCATCCGGCAATACGTGTTGTTATAAGAATGCTTACACTGGTTGCAGAGGAATAGTTTTCAATAATTTTGAATAGTTCAAAAGATTTATTCTTAGAAATCAATGGGAAACATTTTCTCAGCCTACAGAACATCCTGAAAATTTTGTCCTTCTCATTCTGTCAGAATTCTGTTGAAACAGGTTGGAAGTCAAACGTTTCATCTTCAGTATTTATATATCAGTAGCTTCATGTCAATTTTTTCCTCATGCTTCCATTAACTACCTTAACCACTCACTAGCTGACTATTCTGCAGAGTGAAGAAAACTATTTTCTATTCCCCTTAAAATTAGTGAGATTTGATATATTTAAAGAAGTACATACTAATTAAAGCAGACAAACTTATCCCATAGTCCAGAGACATTAATGGCTACATTGGGAGTATAATAACAAAGTTCAGTTCTTTCTTCTATGAGAGCTGAACGACAGTTCCCTGCGGCTGCCACTTCTGAATAGGCTAGCTGCTATTTCTGCCTTGCCTTTCTGCTTATAGAAGTTGCATATACAATACATACACACACACACGCACAGAAAAAGCTATCACATTTCATGAAAATGCTTTATATGAGAAAATTTCACACCCACTCTTTCTTTCTACTGCTGTTAAGTAATAGAGTTATCATTCAGAACAACTTCCACAACTCTGTGGAAATAAATATAATATCCTTTTCATCTGCCACAATACTTTCCCCACAAAAACCGACTACAAGAGTTATGACCACTAGGTCAATCTCTTTTCTGAATAAAAACCCAGATGAGACAGTTGATAATTCGCAAGCGTAGATAAAAATAATTTTTGAAGATAAGTAACTTGTTCTTAATGCTTCATGCTTACTAACATACACTACAGTTGCTTGTGTTTCACTTTTTTGTCATGGAAAATTGAAAGTTTGATACATATGTCAATATATATTGCTGTCTTGATGTCTCTGTAATATTCTTTCTACTCCTAGTGATGATGCTACTTCCTACATTGGCTGTGAGGCTGACAGGCATTTATTATACTGTGATTTTTCTGGCTTATACTTGTCTAAATAAATGATGTCAGTAACTCATGCCACTGCTGCAAATATACTATTAGAGGTGAGCCAGTTCACTGACTTAAGATACAATGTAAAACAAGTAAAAAAATTATTGAAATTATGCCCAGGGTAATGTCTATTACTTCTTCACCATATGACAATGAAATCCTCTTCACAATTAGAGCTCTGAGACACATTAGTAATTCAGCTTTAAGTTATTTTCTTAACTATTTCTGTTGCTCTTGCCTTTGTGACACAGCTCAAGACCTGACACAGGGAGAGACATGGGTTTCACAAACAAAGCAGT